GGGAGCCTGGCAGAACCTCCCACCAGTCTGTAGGACAGAGGGAAAAATCTGTCCTGAGAACTATGTTAGGGACAGGATAGAAAGAAGAATTCTGTTGCCTCCATGGTGAATTCAGCACCTCTTTGCAAAGAAGAAAAATTTTTTTTATTTAATTTAAAAGCAAAGCAAGGGGAAGAGTCACGTAATAAACTGGAGAAAGAAATTTGTGTCTGTGTACCACACCATACACATTAGTTATCTTACCAGAGGTGCAATCTGGTTCTGAAAACTCCAGTAATGGTCTGTCTTGAGAATCTGGAATAGTTTCCTTTTTCCGTTCTCCAAATTTGTACTCCAAGTCCTGCTCCTTGTGCTGGAAGAAGGTCATTAGCTCTCCATACTGCAGCTGGCCTGCCTCCTGAAGCGTTTTCAGAGTCTGACTTAAGTTGTGCCTGCCATGCCAACAGTACTGGTTCTTGGCCACACGGCTAACCAAGTGCAATGACTCCAGGACGTTCACTATATCGTAAATTCGTCTTCGCTCAACTCCTGTTTTAAAGAGACACAGATACTCATCTAGTTTTAATGTACTCTTCAGCAGAAGTAGAACAGAAAACAAGGTGTTCTCTAATACTGAGTGTTCACAACACATTTATCACTGTTCACTTGGACACATATTATTTGCACAGTTAAGAACTGACTTATGTATGACCAGCCTCATGGTATGATACTTTTCTTATCTGCCGGCCCAGCCATGGCTTCAGCTTAAAGCATCTACACAGTGCTTAGAAGAACTGATTGCGGTCTGCCCAGCCCCACTCACTCAGATCTATCCAGACTGCTCTGAGGTTTTCAGAGCACTTTGGCCCTTGTCAGAGAGCTTCAGAGCTCAGACAAGCCTGTGTGTAACAGAGGGCAGGAAAGGGTCTGAGCCTGGCACTGTTGACACAGGGCAGATACAAAAGTCCACTCCTACAGGAACCAGTGGAAGTGTGGTCCTCCACTTGCATTTCCAATGGCACAATCACTTGCTAAGCATGTACCAAGCAGAGGAGCATCAAAGGCTTCAAAAGGTGCAAAGCAGTGGAGAATGAGACCCACTGTTCCCAAATGCAGCAGATATGAGTCCTCGGTGATGGCTGGGTCTGCACCAATGGGAAATCTATGAAATACATCCAACTTGGGTTCAGCCTGACTGATATGAGCAAGGTTGGGGACTGAGTATGAACAGGCCAGTGGCTTTACTCCCTGCGTCCAATGCTGTTTGAAGCATGGCTGTTAAAACATAACACAGTGCACTATACACTGCTGGCATCATCTGCACCAGAAATCCCATAATGGTTAACATCAGCTGAGCAGAACAAGTGCTAGCCAAGGGCAAAGGTTTTGAAAGACTTCCCTGTGGAAGGCAAGGCTTTGATGCATTTGTTTACCCATCTGGAGAATATGGATAATACTTACCAGCCTCAAACAGATATTAGGATAAACAATTAATGAGTATTTCCAAGTGTGTGGAGATCTGGGAGTGAAACACACTCTGGAAAAACAAGAGTGCTACACATATCCTGATGTCTGTCAGGCACCAGCAGCATAGCTCCCTTTATGGTCTTTCCATAGGTCTTCAGTGAACAAAGCAATATACATTTGTAGCAAAAGCTGCATTACAACCACCATTTGTCACATGGAGAGCAACAACATTAGCAGTGAAAATTTTAGAAGTCCCTAAAGCAAGTGGATACAAGCAAGCAAGGAAGTGAAAACCAAAGGGAGAAGCACACACACACACCACCTTCTGGGAGGTAAAATCCCCAACAGTAAGTTTAAGTACAAAGTTTCTAGTATTTAGGAAAGCAAGGAAACCAATCCCAACACAGAATATAGCACTACTCATGTTCAGCTGTACAAGGTTGGAGAATGAGCATCCCATGCAAACACAGAAAGGAGTAACTGCAGAAACTAAAATCACAATTCATTTAAGAACTAATTTATTTAACTATTTACTTCATCTGAATTCTCTCCTATTTCCACTTCCCATATCAGAGCAAATAAATTAGTACTTCAAGGACTTTCTTACCAGTCAGAGGACATTACTTTTCTGTTCCCTTTCTTCTCAAAACAGACACATTCAATTTTTGCTACCTCTTTTCTGTTAAATACAGAAGTTCTAAATCTGTTAAATACAGAAGTTCTAAATATAGATACAGTATTCATTTAGTTGAAGTAAAATTTTGTAAAGCCCTTCCTACCTAATAGATAAGTCTCTCCAAGGACCTGGATCTTTTTGTTATTGGAGTGACCTGACTGAATCCTCTCATTTTATTATTTTGCTCAGATATTTCATTAATCTTTTAGCTAAGATCAAACCTAACAGCAGACCCAGCAAATAAGCTACTCGATACCTTCTTGCCACCTCAATACAACACATTTTGCCATTCTACTCTTGCAAATCCCCTGGTAGCCTCCCCTCACAAGACAGTATTTAAAGCTAAGATAGTCTTGATGAACCATGAGATCGGAA